GAAACTTAGGGGACCAAAGGATAATGATTAACAGGTGGAAATAATGAATGGTGATTGTGACCAAAGTAAAGCTCGGGGCAAGTGAGGTGACATAGGACAGGAAGTCTAACCAAAATAAAAGTATAAAACAGGAAGCCAGACTGCAAACCATAACATAAGGTCATAGTTAAAGGTGGTGTTGTACGGGACTACATTATACTGTATGTAGCTGTCTCATGTAGAGACAACTACATACATGAGAAGGTCAGAATATTAGGAACACTTCTAAATATAATGTAGTCCCGTACAACACCACCTTTAACCTCAAGGTCAAGGTGGAAGTGTTGCATTGTACTGGTGTACCTAATAAAGTGGCCAGCGAGTGTATGTATCTGTATACTTACCTGGTATGGTTGTCATGTGCAGGTGCTATTAACAGGCAGCAGGAGCTCTTGTGTCCATTGGCGAGAGGGGAGGGGAGGCTGACGGGCGCCTCCAGCAGTCTGCTCCCCCTCAGCTCCTCCCCACAGCTCGGACACTTCTCTGGCACTGAGAAACAGAAGATGTCCTTCTGACAGTGAGTGAGCCGGATCACGCTGCACTCCATCTGCTCCTCTGTGTCCTATAGTCCTACTGAACTCCTAATGTTCTCCCCCTCCTCCTTTATCTCCTCTTCTTACTCTTCCAGTTGTTTTCCTTCTTCTCCAGTCCTCTTCCTTCTTCTCTCCTGTATGTGTCACACTTACAGTAGTTGCCAGGTTACAGCCTATCAGATGACATCACTGCCCGGCTCTGGCCTATCAGGTTACTCTCAGAGAGTCTTGTGACCCAGCTCATCTGCTGTTTGTTCAGTCTGAACAGGTGACCTTTGGACTGTGTTGGCAGTGTCTTCATGGAAACTAGTGTTTAGCTGGGAGCACAGGTGTCAAGGCGACACTGTGAAGAGTCAGCCACATCAGAAACATATTGAATCAGTATCAGCAGAGCAACTTTTTTGTGACTAATCATATGATTTTGTACCTAACATAGATAAGCTTCAACAACATGAAGGGCAAAATAACATGTTTATATTAGTGCTGTCAGCCAATTAAAATACTTAATCAAGATTAGCTGCATGATTATTCACAGCTAACTTGCAATTAATTGCACTTTTTAAAAATCTGTTCTAAATGTAAAGGGACCCTGAGGTCACTGGGATCACTAAGAGAAATCCAGTAGTCTCCGGTGAGCCAACCATGTTCGTCTGTCCCAGTGCCTCCTCCGCTTCATATAATGTACCTTGGTTACAGCGGTGGATCTCAAAGGCAATTCATGTGTGTAGTCTTTGGATGTGATGAAAATGATTTGAAGCAGACCCTCGTCTTCCACAGTGTTAACTGACCTGCAGCTATAGCTGCTCATTTAGCTGTCACTGTTGAAAGTTCGCTGCTTGTAGAGTTGTCCAGGCATCTCTGTTGCAAACTATCCCGTGTGGTCTGCCTTTGGTGAGGGGGAGGATGGCTCTCTGCATCAGCTGTGTGCTTGGCCAGCAAGTGGTATTTGAGACTCAGTGTACTCTGGTAGTAACTCAATTCACATCGGCAGTAAATGCAAATAACTTTGGTCTTGTTGAGACAACCATCTGTCAGGGCTTTGAAGCTGAACGTGCTGTTCAAAAGAACCTTTTCTTCATCCTTTTCTGCTCGACGTTTGTTCGCAGCCAGCGTTTACACTTTGTGCAGGTGATACCTGCATGTGTATGGTTTCTGGGCCAGGTGAAAGATTTGCCCTGAAACCTTCACTGTGGCATTGGGTCGAAAGGATGTAGGCAGTTGAAATCCTTTAGTAAAGGTGGCGTTGGAGCCCAGGTGTTCCCTTACCCCGTGTGAAATTGATCATTGACACTGTGTGTCAAGGGCACGATAATTTAAAAAGCAGCGTTTGACATTTAACAGTCCTGTTTGTGTTTGCTGCTGCAGAACATCAGTGTCCCGCTAAACAGCTGGAATCAGAACAGGTTCACAGAATAAATCCCTGTTTGTGAGCAAATGATTTGTTTCCTGGTGGATGTAGGACAGAGCTGTGTTCACCTGAACACCAGAAAAAAACTTAAATATCTTCTCAGACACTGCTGTGCACGTCCGTTCCTCTGTATTCATCTAACACTGAACTCAAACAGGACGTACCGGATGTCACGTCTTCTTCTTCTGGGACTGAATGGCGGGCTATGAACCAACGAACGGTGGATGCTGCCACCTGCTGGCCCAGAGTGTGTATCAGTGCTGTGCTCCAGTGCCCCCCCCCATGGAAGTGTCACAATACACAGCTGCTGTTGCACTGTCCACCCTGAGCGGGTGTGCTGCAGCCGCTGTGCCGGAAACATTAGGTAAATGAGGCCGAGCTCCTCCTCACATCCACTGTAATCACACACAGACCAGGAAATGGAACAAACAGAAACAAGGGCAGAAGTTAAATTCTTCTGATCACAGATGAAATACTGCCTGAAATGAACTGAAGTGCTATAAATGCAGCTGTGACTGGATGTGAAAGCATCAACAACAGTGATGGGTGAATGTGATTATGTGTGTGAGAGAGGATGCTCACAGGAGCCAGTGTGACCCATAATCGGTGCCTCGCTCAGTGACACTCGACCAGGACGATGGGTTGTTTTCACCGGTGACTGATGCAGGAATGACTGCAGACATTTGGCGGCCAGGAGGAAACCTCACCCTCCTGTTCTGCAAGACAAATAGGCTGCACATACAGTGGTGACTGATGTTTCCACTGTCACAGCTGCCTGCGTCACGTGACACTGACCTCTCCCTAAAGAGATGTAACTCATAAGAAGCTGTGTCAGAGGCTGTGATGGAGCACTGAGGTTGACCGCTAATATGTGACCGCTTATACACTGACCAGCCTGAGACAGTGTTGGTCCAGCCCTACTCCGGGCTCTTCTCCTGGTTCAGCCAGAGTCAAACTAAAAGAAATAAACTGTTTTGTTCTGTTTCAGCTAGAGCCCTGCTGAAAACATGACTGATGACTCCTCGCTGCTCCATTTCAATCATCTGGTTTTGCTTGACAACATGTTCTGGAGCTGAAAGCACCTTCAGCAAATTAAACAATTCATTTATTTTCATTAATTCATCAAGAAAGTCTATTGAACATTCATGAGCCGTTTTAAGTCAAACATTGTTGGGTGGTGGAGCCCAGAAAGTGACAAATGTGGTCAGCGTTGTTCAGACACGTCTGAAATGTCACACTACTCATCAGAAACAAGTCAGATATGAACTGTTAGGTTTTACTCTCCAATCAGTCTGTTCGTTTTGAAGTGAATGTATGTTCCACGTTTCATTTGATGGTTGATCTGGTTTCCCCACACGCCACCTTCACTTAAAACCAAATGAGCTACTGAAGGGAAAAACTAACATGGGAATAAACACTTTATTTTTAAAATCAACGGATTAGAATTGAAGAGAGACATGTTTTGTCTTCTACTCTGCAACTGTTCATGTAATTTGTCCAAATTCAGACCCATTCTCGTGCAGTCATTTCGTGACCTGCTGCTGGCACCTGTCTGTCCCGCACATGTTGTGCGGACACGGTCCAGTAGGGGCCAGCAGCAGTCTGTCAGACTGGGGAGAGACAGCGGGACAAGGACAGGTCGGGCCAGTTACCGGTCTATTGCCAGGCCGGTTAGATGATAATCGGTCCAAGGGGCAGGGGCCCAATGCTCCCAATGCTCCCATACATATGATAGAGCACTTTGCCAAGAGGCCCCAGTTCCTCACGTCCGTAACATGAACCATGACCTCACTGGCACTTAACGCGTGGTTCAGCTGCTTTCTTTATCCAAAGACCAAAATGGAACCGGGCGGTTTCGCCATTTATCGATTAGGCATCGCGCTCAGATGAAACACTATGAATCCAATATATTTAAACTACTATGGTAAATAATGACGTCACTGCTAAAGTATATTTGGTTTACCATCCATGTGCTGCGGCTCAGAATGCAACAGGACACTAGGTGGAGACAGTCTCCTGTCAGAAACCAGCTTCTCCTGTGCGCTGCTGGGGGGCGCGCACATATCCAGACCCACAAACAGCAGGGAACCAGTTCCCTGTTGGCGCCTGTTCACACAGTCACATGTGAGATACTGAAGGATTTCATGTGTCATATTTAATATATTTCTGGACAAAACATAACGTCACCGCTCCTCCTGTAAAATGTCAACGCTTCCGTTTAGTTCAAGTGTAAACAATCATTACCTCATTAAGGAACAAGTTTAAACATTTGAGAAAGTGGGCGCCATGGGTCCGACATGTTGTGCACGGAGAACCAGCTGTCAAGCAAAGGTCGAGGTTGTGTGAGGACTGAGACCAAAAGGCCGCAGTGTCCTACTGACTGAGTAGGAGCAGGTACACACCAACACTGGGAACCTGGGGCACATCCACCTACAGATCCGTGAGGTGGGGGCGACTGTGCTCCGCAGGGGAGCAGGTCGTTCTCTAATCAGGGCTGGCGGCTCCGCCTCCTCCTCCTGTCCGCACGCCGAGGTGCCTCAGACCGAACCCCTCCCAACCAGCAGCGCGCACAGCAGCTCGCTGTGAACACTGTGCGCGTCCGTCTCGGCCGCCGATAAATCACTGCATGGCTGCTGATAAATGTAGTCGGTCACAGTGAGGATGTGTTCGGAGCAGGTTCCTCCGTCTCTCTCTCTCTGAGCCATTTCTTCTTCCTGTCACTCAGAGGACAGGTCGACCAGGCTCCCGTTCCACTATAAATACACTCGGTGCAGCCGCTGTCCTTGCGCTGTCCTCCTCCTCCTCGTCCTCGTCCTGTCTGCTGTAGCTATTTCTGTCTCGATCCATAGCCCTTGTGCACTCAGCCTGGTGTCAGGTTGCCGGACCCTTCGACAGGTGACAGGCAGACCACGTGTGGTTTGTGCTCTGTGGCAGCTTCTGGCTGTTAGAATGATGGAGTCTGGTGCAACTGTTCAGACTCCGCATGAATACGAGCTGGAATATCAGCTTTTACATGGTAGTGTGTACACGGTCACATTAAAGGTTAAAGGTCCTCACACGTGCGAACAGATGAGACTTTGAGGAGAGACAGGAAGAATAACGTTGCCATGGTAACAGCGATTTAAGTGCTGATGTTTTGGACTATGAAGAAGCTGATTGAACTGTTAACAGTAGATTTCTGCTGTGTACTACAGACAAGTTGCTGAATCTGCTACAGAACAACACATTCAGACGTGATGAACCTCAGGCAGGTTGTGAAGCTGCAGCTGTGCATCGTGTCACATTTCTAACATGATCCCCAGCTTCTTCAGCAACTCCACTTCAGGTGATCTGTAACTTCGCTGCATCGACTCGGACGCTTTCTAAATCAGATCACATTTGCCTGAATTTAAAGGGTTGGGGTTCATTGTCATTCTAACCCAGCTGACAGTGAAATTCAGGTGTGGCCCTCCTGTGTGCACATGTACAATCCTCAGACATGAGTGCAGTCACTACTGTGTGCTGCTGACGAGTCCACTCAGATGTCCTTTACATGTCTAATGGAGTCTGACATGAACACAGGCCACCTCAGTACGAGTCACACCTGGCGGGCTAAGCCATGCAGACATTCTGTGGACACCCTTCTGAGGAGACGAAGCAGCAGAGAGCAGGCGTTTTGGTTCAGGGCAAATAATTTAATGCAGTTACATTGTCAATATATGTGCACTGTCACTCACACAGCAGACAAAGCAATGAGTGTGTCTGTCCCCTCGCTCTCCCCCAGAATCAGACCAACAACCAGCACTGTTCACGCACACAGACACACACACACACACTGCCAACACAAGCTGCTGTCTCGGCCACATTAGCCGCTCCTACATCATTATTATAACAACAACACTGTGTTGGACAATAACTGTGGAAACAATCCGCACTTCATTTCCAAGGATCAAACTGAAAACAAACAGTCTGTGTATCATAAACCTAAACAAGCAGAAGGTCTCACGCACAGAGCTGCACGAGGCTGCTCAGCATTTCTAATACATTCATATCAGCTGCAAACTCATGGAGCAGAAATGAAAAGGGAAAATAAGATGTTACTGTTAAGCTCAGAATAATCAGGCTGTTATCAAAGATGGGAAAGAAAAAGGAAACTGGAAAACTCACATTTAGTTGGAAAAACTAAATATTTCAGCAGTTAACTTTCCTGCTCAACTGTGGTTTAATATCAACAACTGTTTTAATTTTCCTTTTTCCATTTAGGCTTTTCTATTTAAGAAAGGTTTTACGTTTCATGTTTCCACAGAATGCAGTGTGTTATTTCTGTTTCCAGCCTTTTAACATTCGACTAATCTGTGACTTAGAGACTAATGTTACCCACAATTAAGCTCAAAACAGAAATGAAGAATGATGTAATTATTATTTTAGTACCTGTGAGAATGAGGCAATTAACAAGTTGTAAAAAAGAAAAAGGAAGGAAACCTGTGATTTACAGCATTAAGCTTCAGCTCCTCTTCGGTTTCCTCATACTACCTTCAAACGATACCAACGGTAGTTTTCTACTTCCACATTTAATTGTATTTCTATGAGCCTGAATGCTAACAAAGCATAATGCACCTATTACAAGCTCCTTTTCCTCTGAGCAGCACTGAGCTCCTCTCATTTTGTTCCAGGACTTTAAATATGACCCTCCAGTTGAAATGAAAGTTTCACAACAGTTTATTTGTCAAAATCTGATTTTCCTTCCATCGAATGAGGCCCGACTTACTGCTCCACAGAATTACGGTTATATGTAAATGTCTTTCAGTACTCAGGACAGTTTGAGTGTAGTATAAAGGAAAAGGAGCCAAAGCTCAATGGAAGGTATTTAAAAAACAGCCAACCAAAGGAGCAGGACAGAAAAAAACAGTTTTTGCTTCATATGCTGAAGTTTTTTAGTCTTTCGATTTGTTTCATTCCCTTTTCCATTTTGGGATACACATTTAAATTTCAGCATGCCTACTTCATCTTAACGTGTAGGATTTTGAAACTGTGGCTTCAATATTAAAACGTCTAATTTCCTTTTTCAGTTTCCTTTGTGCCGATGATGTGTGGGTGGGTCTCCAAGACGCCGGCAGGAAAACTGAGGCCACGATACGGTTTGTTATCAGACACAAAGATGAGGGGACCTTCGACGTGGCCACATTTCTGGACCTAAGGAGCTACTGGCCAGCCGTGACCAGCATCCCACCAACAGTCTCGTTTCTCTTGATGCAGCAAACTGGATAATAAACCAAACGTGGTTTCTTCTAGAGTGAACTCTCCCTTTAGTAACACATCAGGACCGTTAGCTACCGCGCTGTCACACCATGACACATTCAGTTCCCCAGCTGTACTCTGAGGTGTGGGAACTGAAGTGCTTCACACATTACGTTATGGAAACACGGTCCAGCTGCAGAGCTGGGACAAACAGTCTCCGTCCTTCCTCTAAATGTCACGCTGTTCCTCTGAGGAAGAGCACGTCCACAAAGGGGTTGTGGCCCAGGGCCCCCAGCCCCTCAGGCCCCCACAGTCTGTGCGGCCTGTTGAGACTGTAGGCGGGAGACGCGGGACCTTCCACTGTTCTCTCTGTGTGTGTGTCTCTGCAGAGCGACACACCAAGCACCCTGTCGTGTGTGTGTGGTGCACCTGTGCCGACAGGTAGAGGTGAACTGTTGTGCTAATGTGACAGCTAGCCATCGCACTGCTGTCCGTGTGTGTGTTGTACAGAGAACAGAGTGCCCATTGTCCTGTCGCCTGCTGTGATTCTTGTTTTTCACACCTCTGTGTACCTGTGTGTGTTCACCAGCGCCACAGTAGAGCCCCTATTTATAACAGCAGTGGGAGCCTGTCCTGTGGAGACGGCACCATCGCTGCTAACTTTCAGGACTTCTAACTAAAGCCCCTTTCAGACACACGGTTCAGACACATGGGGCCTCTACTTGTGGTGGCAGCTCATTTAACATAGTGGCTGAACAGCCAAGTCCTGACATAGACCAGCGTCCCTCGGTCGCTGCGCTCGGTGAGCAGGGCCTCCCCCACCAGGAACCTGCATCTGGCTCCTGCTCGCACAGCTGGGGCCAGATGCAGAAGCTGTGCACTCAAACTTCCCCTGTACTGTAACTGGCAGTTATAAAAGACGAGTGTGTCCCCTCACACTGGTTTGTTAGCTCTGGTGTGGTGACAGGTGTGTTACTACGCAGCAGTACAATGCCAATCAGAGGTGCCAAGGAATTGATCATTATATTTACATTCGAGTCCCCGTGCCCCGCTAAGGCCCCTTGCATTTCCTAAGTCTGCTCTGACAGGAGCTCTAGAAGCTGCTCATCCCGAGCTATCACTGCTGGGTTCCCAACGTGCCGCGTTCCATTCACACTGGAGACTGGAAATGTCCAACGTTCGAGCTTGAAGCACTGCGTAATGCACGCATGGCGGGCAGTACTGTATTTGAGTATTTGTACTGTCAGCAGAGATGAACTGGACCAAGGAAATGGAAAGAGGCTGTGGCACATAACATTACAGTTTAGTCAGAATACAACAGTAAAAACCATCACTTCCTGATGTAGCCTGAGGAAACGGTCTTCAGTTTGAGAGTGGAAGCGTCTGCTTCTCGGTGAACTCGAGAGGTTCCCAGTTTACAGTCATCCATCCTCCTTTCCTCCAGCAGGAAGCAGGAAACGTGCGAGTCAGCGTGGAACGCAGCATTAGTGGTGCGGGTGCTACAGACGCACAGAGCCGTAGCATTAGACAGCTGTGGAGATCCGACAGCTGTGAAGCTGCACTTAAATGGTGTGGGCAGATGTTTGACACAGCCACCAGGATGTGACCGATTCTACCAGCAAATCTATGGCAGCGGCTTCCTCTGCATGTCAGCCTGAGAAGAAACATGTGACCAGCGCTCGGCTCAGCTGCAGTTAAGCTAGAGAAGGAGGAATTCTGAATCATACAGGCTCACACAGACGCGTGCACACACACGCACACAAACTCACACACACACACACACACACACAGTACAGACCTCAGTGAGGAATCTTTGGGTTCATGAGATGCGAGTATGAAAGGCTCCAGGTGTGTTTGAAGGTTTCAGGCTTTATCTTTATGCTTTTTCTCTTTTGATTTTTACAGCGAACGTGTGTGTGTGTGTGTTAGGAGGAGGCAGGCTTGCTGTAGTCCTCGACCCCAGTGATAGTGGCTTTGCAGAAGAAACAGTCCTTGTTGTTCATCAGGTGCTGGTTGATGCAGGCTCTGTGCAGAGAGGGAACACAAATGTCATAACACACTAAGTGGTCAGTTTATCGGGAACGCCTGTGTCAAATTAACTCAGTCTGATCCAACAGTAGGATGTTCAATGTGTGTGTTCAGACTGCTGGTTCACCTGTGTGAGGAGGCTGCAGGTTGTGCTGCTGTTCACCTGGACTGGGTGAGAGCTGGACCTGGTGTTTCGTCTCAGTGAAATACTGTAAGTGTGGTGGATAAACTCTAATGCATGTTCTTATCTACAGGTATGTGCCAAAAAATTAGAATATTTCATGTGACCAATAAAAAAAGGATCTTAAACACATGTTGGCCTTCTGAAAAGTGTGTTAATGTACTGTATTATGTCCTCAGTACTTTGTTGGGCCTCCTTTTGCATTAATTACTGCATCAAGGCGGCGTGGCATGGAGGCGATCAGCCTTTGACACAGTTGAGGTGTTATGGTAGCCCAAGTTGCTTTGATATTGGCCTTCAGCTTGTCTGCATTTCGGGGTCTGTGTTCCCTCATCTTCCTCTTGACAATACCCCATAGATTTTCAATGGGGTTTAAGTCAGGTGAGTTTGCCGGCCAATCAAGTACAGTTATTCCATAGCTATTAAACCAGTGTGGATGTCTGATCACACCTCCCTGCTGGAATGTGATCTACACCGGGGGTCTGTGTGTATGTGTGATGTTAATTTGTATGTTAAACTGGCCAAGTGGTCATCTCAGGATGTCGAGCCCTCGGTCTCTGCAGGACATCCCAAGACAAAGCAGAACTTGCAAAATGTTAAGTGGGTCTGTGTGTGAATGCAAAACAAGCCGACTTGTCTTTGTTTAAATGTGAATGGGCTATCTGGTCGCGAAGAGGTGCAGGCACCAAAGACAGCTGGGGACGATATGTGGGTTGTTAGATATGAGACAATGGTATGAGTTTTATAGATGTGTAATTGTATCACTTTTGGTATAAAAGGGACTGCCCTTTACCAGTCAGATAGAGAACTCTGCGCGACTGCTAAGTTGTGTATGACTTCCCTCCATGCTGCATGAAATAAAAGACGTCTTCGAAGCTACTCCGGGTCTCCAGGCATCTTTATTGGGTCCTGCACGTTTTCCACTACCACAGTAATGGCGACGAGGATTGGGATTAATGACTGCTTTTTCGACTCCAGCATCTGAAAGCCCAGAACTGCGCGCACCAAAATAAAGGTAAGAGAACTTTTATTCTCACATTTGGCTGTGTTCTGTGGCTGGATGATCTGAGTCGTGAAGCAGGTAATTAATCAAAGAACTAAAAGGGAACTAGCAGGCTCAAGTCAGAGACCGCGTGAGTACTTTGTGTGTGTTGTAGGACTGAGGGTGCGCCCTGTCCGAGTAAAAGGCCTAAGTGTAGGGCTGAGGACGGTTTTTTTTGTCTTTAATCCATAATCATCAAAATTGAAACAAATAAAGGCTTGAAATATTTCACTTTGTGTGTAGTGAACTAATATAACATACAAGTTTCACTTTTTGAAACAAATTATTGAAATAAATGGACTTTTCCTCGATATTCTAATTTTTTGGCACATACCTGAATAAGCACAGAGATTAATGAGCACAGAGTCCTGTGCCAGCCCTGGGTTCGGCCTGTCAGGCTACAGGAAGGCAGCCTGTGATGTGTGTGTGTGTGTGTGCTGGTGGTTGTGCAGACTCACTTGCAGGACTTGTGGGAGCAGGGCTTGAAGATGGCAGAGATGGAGTGAGCGTAGCAGATGGGGCATAGGTCTTCTTCGCTGGTCGGCTGCGAGACAAAGAAACAGTTGGTTTGAGACGGTCTGGACTGTTGCACTTTAATCCTCATCTGTTGCTGCCAGGTGGACTTTTGTTTGGACAGAGCCAGACTAGCTGTTTCCTGTCTTTATGCTACGCTAAGCTCCATCAGCCCCTTTCAGACATGCACACTCCAACGTGTCGGCTTCGTGTCTGAATGAACTCCTGGTCACATTTTCATTGAGGTTGTGACAACAATCTTACTGCACGCAGTCGCATTAACCGACAGACACACACAAGATTACGACGATCTGAACATCTGCTGCCACAGCACTTTAAAAGATGCTGGTACATGTTACGCACCTGATGCTGCTGTGAGCATTTTTAGCCCCAGTGCATCATGGGAGGTCTGAGTTAACACCACAGGTGCTATGGGAAACACTTCACCTGAGGAAGTCAACATCAGCATCACACCCGCTCTTCACACTCACAGCCTTTTCTCAGCTGAGGATCTGGTCACTTTCACGCCTGTGATGTTTTCCTCCTCGACCAGCTTCCCTCCACCTCCACTGGCTCTGTCCTTCCACCTCTGATTCCGTCTGCCATGTTTGGAGGCGTTGCCCCAGTCTCTCGCCCTCTGCTCCCCATTGTCCTCCCTGACCTCCTGGTCTGATCCCAACCCACCTCGTCCACGCACGTCCTCGTCCTCTGCCAGCCAGCTGTCCTGACGCCATCCATGAAATCTATTCTACTTTTAAAAAGCTCTATTAGATGGTCAGGGGTGATGAAGCGCCGCCCAGAGGCTGAGCAGTCTGCCAGACAGTTAAAGAAGAATGTAACTGTAGATAATGCAGCTATGGGGGCTGTGCTGCTGCCGCGCTCCTGCTTTCACTGCTTACGATAAAACACACCCTACCCCGTCCGCTCACTGATTCTCCTGATGCAGTTCAAACTAAAAAGCACAGGCACAAATCTGCAGGCTCTCTTGGACACATTTCTCGTAACACTGCAGCCAGGATTAGTCTTCACATATTCTGCCCTTGTTTGAGGTAGTGACACCGGTTACAGCATCAGCTGTTGCCGGATATGTCCGTGCCAGGTCTGCACATCTGGGTTCTTACAAGGAGACGACAGAGGGATGACAGACAGGTTCCTTGATTTTGTTTTTGCGTCACCACTTTGACTTGCTGCCACACACCACTCTCTACCACAGCTGTTTTAGCTGGGTTTCATCAGACTGCTGGAATTTTCTGTCAGTGTTCCATGCGAGTTAACAGGGACTCACTCTGCCCTCTCTGACATACAGCTGCCTTCTGTCAAGATGAATGTCGCATTATCATTCTGACTTTCAGGCCTTGTATGTTGATCTAAGCTCTGTAACCACAACACAATCCTGTCAGCCTTCCCTGACAAACCACTGCATCCTTACAGTCTCACTCTCGCCTCCACATTTCCTCCCCACGTTTATATTTAAACCCAGAACTAGTCTGCAGCTCCTCAGGCTGCTGCAGCAGGACTGTCGGGCAGAGAGAAGACAGTGGGGTGGATTTCAAAAGGAAGCCTCCACATTAAACATGTCACAAAGTCAGACAACAAGCTGAACTTATTCACAGGAACAGCAGCCTCTACTGTCTGTTGGAGTGAAGGATTAAAGGTAGATGAACTGTTAACGCGAGTCTCCACCAGGGGCACTCGGTGCTCCAGTGCTAACGAAGACCCAGGACTGTTGGACACCTTAAGACTTGTTGTTAAGAAGAACAGGACAAAATGACACCCAACACACTGAATCACTTGGTGTCCTCCGTCCCTAAACGTCTTGTTGTGTCCTGAAGAGGAACGGCAGCATCACACCGTGGTGAACGCTTCACTGTCCTGACTTTTATTGGAACGTGTTGCAGCATCAGGATTGAAGTCAGTGTTTATACTGAACTAGGAATAAAGTTGATGTGTCACATCACATAACGTGCTGCTGTGTTGTTTTCAATGTGAGACAGGACACAGATGATTTATACATCACTGTTTTAGACTTTACACACCATCATGACTTCTTCTGATGTGGGGTTCTTTCTTAAGGAGCAACAGAGCTGAATTTGGCCAAACAACCAGCTGTCAAACAAAAATGACTGGATGATTCACTGTGTGGGCCTTTTTCCTAAGCCCCCCCCCCCCCCCATGTTCCAGGAGTCAGACGGCGTCGACAGGGAGAGAGTAGATGAGGAAAGAGACCGACAGACAGGGTGGAAAGAACAAGAAAGAGAATGCAACTTGGGAGTCTGGTTTTGTTGCCAGTGGAGATGAAAGCTGCTTTGACTGCTCAAGGTTTTCACCAGTGTGTACACCAACTCACACAGGCTCACACAGGCTCACACACAGTGCACAAAGATCAAATGAGTAACAGTGGAATCATCATCATGCATGGCCAGACTTCTGAAGAAGCTGCAAACCCCCCAGTGCCCCAAACCTGATGTGTCCACAGCAGTGTGAACAGACCAAACCAGATCAGAATCCACCGTTTAAACATCTCCTCCCCTGCACATAGGCCCCGCCGCCATCATTCGACGTTGGCCCCTCACAGATAAGTTACAATACATGTGGAGGACAGCGATGACAGTGACACGGTCAGCCAAGCCCCCAGCAACAGCGCTGGGCTGTGAAGCAGCCAAACCGGGTCACCTCTACCTCCACATTCACCACATGACGCACACTGGCCCAAAAAGCATTCTTCCCATAGAGAATCATTGGACAGGGGGCGGCTGTACAATAGTAATCAGTTTTCCCTAGCTTCACAAACCCCCAAATAACTTTTTCTTATCAAACTTTGATTTGTTGGGTCCGATATCATTTGGAAAGTCACCCGGCTCGTCCAGCAGGAGTCATGGCTCAACACCAGGTGTGCATGTGGCACCATGTCTGGACCCTACTTGGTCAGAGAAATACATGACGCAAAACTAGTTAAATCACATGATCTTCCATCTGTGACATCAGTCCTACTGAACATGCAGCTCTTTTTAAAGTGTGCAGTTTCCATTTGCTGTATTTGACCGTTGGTTACATCCACTGTACAGCGCAGCCAGTAACTTCCTCATTGTCTACTATTTGTCATAGTTCTGGGTTGTAGTTTTCCCTTTTCCACTGGGTTTTTTTTGTAGCCTCCTCTGTGTGTTTGTACATCAGACACTTTTGATGCACAAGTGAACACCTGCCTGGTGTAGACAGGAGTGTGAGCTTCAGGCGAGCTGCACACCAGATGTTACACACTACGATTATGGTGTAGACGAGGCTTAAGAAAACATGTTTCAAACAATGGTTCAAGTGCACTGCACTATAGTACAGGCCCGGCACACTCTGTCATACATATTTATCTTAGCTTGTTCAGGTGACGTGGTGATGTCCACCTCTGCCCCTGATGATAAACAACTTAGGGTTATGGAGGCTCAAAATACATCCCTCTCAGTCTTGTTAGAAACCAACAGTCTTCTCCTTGACCTTCCTTCTGTCCTCCCCGTTCACATGTCTGTCACATCTGCCACCGTCTCACCGTCTCCAGGGTACGACTGGATTTCTGTCCAAAGGTACAGGTACTGGCACAGGTAGAGCCAGACGGGTAGAGCAGACCCAGGACAAAACAACAGAACTGCTGCCTCACACCTTTTCACTTTCAGCTCTTGTGTGACTATGGAGTGCAGGAATAAAATAAATATCCCAACATAATCTGTCACATGCAGGAAGCGTTAACAGGAGGACGGCATGTGTGTGTCTGCAGGGGAGCACATCACTGCCAAAAACAGAGTCCAGACAGACTGAGAGCACCGGGATCCAGAGGAGGACGGCGGCGCGACTGGTGGAGGTGCTCAGTGGGCCAGCCATCACCTGAACCCTGAAATACCAGGAGGAGACAAAAATGTGTCTGGTCTCAGGTGAGCTGAAGGATGCCAGAAATAAAAAGCAGTGGAGGAGGAAACAGAGGGGCGGACGACCGGGGCCTAGAAAGGAATCAGGGCAGAATGAGGGCAGCTCACACCTGAACTGGTCTGGTTTTGCATCAGAGATTCGAACTGAGCGATACATGCACCACACTGCTCTAAGTGACTCAGAACAGGACTGCATTCATCCACCATCATCAAAGGGTCATTAAGATGGTTAATCTGGCAGCATCGCTTCACACCTCAGCTGTTTCAGAGCCGTCCCTGGGTCTGACCTCAGACGATTAGATGGTGACGACTCTGGAGTTTCTTCAGACATGAGACTGACGTGCGCATATGTAAAGAGGTGCGGGTCTGAGACTACTGATGTGTCCCTGTGTCATCGTGCTGGTCCTCTACGGTGACGGGTGATGTCACATCCTGTGCAGACATGGCGAGTACTGAAGGAAAGTGATCAGGTGGAATGTGCAGTCCAGGCCCGAGCAGCAGATTTAACACCAAGGCCAACACAACAGCTCTCTCCTGTTCTTTACCCCCATCACTGGAGCTTTAACGGCCGCCGCTGTGACTCTGGCAGCCCTGGCAGTCCAGCTGCTGCCTGGGCAAACATAAGCAAACAAAAACGGTGTGAGTATAAATTAGCGACGCTGCCGAGTGTTTGGAGCTATCTGTGCGTGTGCGAAGGTGTCAACTGTCCACGGAAACACAGAGAGAGACATCAACACCCAACCGGGCGGACAGCTTTTCAAACAGCCTAATGATTTAAGGTGGCATGTGCACGGACCAGCTCTCAGTCTGAGGAGACAAGAACTGGACCCAGACCAGCTCCTGTCTCATCTCTGTTTGCACTGGCCATTCCTTTTGTCAGGGTTTGTCTCCGTGCCGAGCCGTAAAAAGACGAGGCAAGGTTTCGACTGTAGTTGTGAGCAGGTCTTTAAAAGTCTAACATTTACCTGAGCAGGACCCCCTCTCTGCCAGGGATGCTGTGCACTGAAGCCACAGTGCCATTGTTTGTCTTTCTGTACTTGTGAGGACCCCCAATGACCGCCCCCCCACTAGACTCCACCTCTCCTCAGTGCTGCTACTGCAGGATTAATAACCTGGATGACTGAGGGCAGTAACTGCTTTCATTCTGACACACCAGAGTCATCCACAGACAAAATCAGCTGGGCCAAGCTGATTGGCTGATTCAGGAATGTACACACACTGTGTACAAGTATAAAGAGACCTGCAGGTAAACATACTGAGCGCACCCACATGCAGCCTGGACTAAAATGTAGCTCCATACTACAACAACAGCCTGAAGCTGTCACAGAATCATCAAACACAATTCCTCTTGGACAGTGACATGATCTAGAGACGGGCCTTCGTAGGCCCCAGCATCTTAGCCACTCACTGTAAACACTGAAAAACTAGAGAAAAGAAAAGTGTTTCATTCAAACCCACCAGCATCAGATAAAAACAGAGCCATAAATCACAGCCCCATCGGGTCTGTCCATCTGAGGGACGGCACCACAGAGACCTTCTCTGCACAGGACCATTAGTGTGGAAACGTGCCTCAGGCTCTGGACTCACCTTCCATCTGACTGCGTTTGTTATTTTACCTCTTTCTTTCCCATTCTTCACCTGCCCTCACAGAGAACGGTAGTGTGGGCAGGTCATGTTGCTGTAACTGTGCCACTAACAACACAGAACTTTGATCCACTGCTTCTTGAAGCATGATGCAGCAA